TGATGGTTGTGGGATATATCAGTGTTACAGTGAAGGATGTGGGATGTAGCAATGTTACTGTGAAGGATGTGGAATTTATCAGTGTTACAGTGACTGATGTGGGATATATCAGTGTTACTGTGAAGGATGTGGGATGTATCAGAGGGTTAACAGTGAAGGATGTGGGATATATCAGAGGGTTAACAGTGAGGGATGTGGGATATATCAGAGGGTTCACAGTGAGGGATGTGGGATCTATCAGTATGTTGTAATGAAAGATGTGGGATTTATCAGTGTTACAGTGAAGGATGTGGGATATACCAGATATATATTAATGGTTTGGATGTTTGTGTTCAGGGGACAATTTCAACTGCTTGCAGATGAAATGACACTTGGAAGAATTGTAAATTTTGAGGAGGACAGTGTGAAAGTTCAGAACGGCATTGACAAGTTGGTCGAGTAGGTGGGATAGGCAGCAAATAAGGTTTAATACACTTTGCTGGGAACAACATTGGAAGATGGTAAAGTAGGAAGTGCAATTCTAAAGGAGGTGCAGGAGTCGAATGATCTGGGTGTATATGTGCACAGATCATTGAAGGTGGCAGAACAGGTGGAGAGCAGTTAATAAAGCATACAGTGTTCCTAGCTTTATTAATAGGGTCACAGAATACAAGAGCCCCAAGGAGGTAATGTTGAATTTGCATACGACACTTGTTAGACCGCAGCTAGAATATTTTGTACAGTCCTGAGCATCACATTGTAGAAAAGATGTAAATGCATTGGAGACAGTGCTGAAGCGATTTACAAGAATGAGTTTGGAATGACAGACTTTAGTTATGAGAATAGATTGAAGCTGGGACTGTTCTTCTTGGAAATAAGAAGGCTAAGAGGAGATTTGATAGAGGTTTTCAAAATTGTGAACAGGCTGGATACAGTAGACAGGGAGAACCTGTTCCCGTGACAGGGCACAGATTTAAAGTGATGTGCAAGAGAAGCAAGGGTGATGCGAGAAAAAACACCTTCCTTCACACAGCACATAGTTGGAATGCACTGCCTGAAAATATGGTGATCATTCAATTACTGCATTCAAAAAGGATACTGGATGATTCTTTGAATAGAAATAGTGTGCGAGTCCATGGGGAAGAGACAGGAGATTAGCGCTGGGTAATGATGCTCCTTTGTAGAGCTGGTCAGTCGTAATGGGCCAATTGCTCCCGTCTGTGTTGTAACAATTCTGTGATTTTATGGGCTCTCATCTAGTGAGGAGGTGGTATGTGTGACAGTATTAAAATACATGACAAGCCTTCAAAGTCTTTTAAATCATAGCAGGAGGTGGCTATTCAGTCCACCCAGCCTATTCTGTCTTCAATGAGATCCTGCCTAATCCTGTCCCTCAACTCCATTTACTATTTTTTTTGATAAAGGTTTGATTCCTTCAGCCTAACAAAAATCAATGTCACTCTTTGAATTTTTAACAAGGGTAAGGTAAGGTGAAAATCTTTGTGAAATACCAGTGATGGGGTATTGTGCAGTCCTGTTTAAATTAGTAGATACACAATGGCTACTGCAGAAACAGGCCATTCAGACCAATTGATACGGGCTGTTTATCTGTACCACACAAGTTAAGACCCCCACCCCCTGCAATCAATGTGTCCTTTTGTTCCTTTCTCCCTTGTATTTATTTAGGTCTCTCTTAAAGCCACGTGTCTTGACTAATCACAGACTATAACGTAGCTCAGTTGATTTCACCTCTGTCTTTAGGTAAAAAACTTGTAGATTTGTGCCTCAAACACGAGTGCCTTATTGTCAGGAGGACTATTCTCCTCTTCATCTGCCCATCGAAGACTTTTAAATGTGAGGTTGTGTCAAGCAGGGGAATTCTCTCTGGTCAACACTCTTCCCACAAGCAACGGTACCCCAGTTTCTCATTGCACACTGTCTTCTGGCTATCCAACATAGAACATTAAATCTGCTGTGTGAAATGGTAAGATTTGATGTAAATGCAAATACTAATAAATCAATCTGATAAACTGAATTGACAATACTGTTAATATCCAAATCTAGAGGAAGTTTTAAGGCATGAAAAAGTAGGCATACAGATGTTTCCATTTGCCGAGCTAACTGAACCCAGGGCAAAAATATATAAGATGTTCACTACCATATCCAACAGACACTTTTCAGAGAGAGCTGGATTATAAGGGAGAAAGGAATCGAAGGAAATGCTAACAGGGAGAAATGAAATCGGATGGTGTAGTGTTTGTGCACAGTGTAAACACCAGCACAATGCTGTTTGGCTGAAAGGCCTGTTTCCTCACAGACTTGAGCATGTTCAATCCACCAGCTGATTATTGACTTTCCTCCTTGTGTTTCAGTGCAGAGTCCTCAGCAACTCAACAACTCTCCCTCCGTGCAGTACACAACGGGCTGTTCAAGGCAGGAGCTGGAAAATGGCGACCACTCCATATGTGCAGAGTTCCAGGGACCGCTGAACATGCCAATGGCCAAGGAGTTGGGATCACAGCCATGCCCACCGGGTATCTTTTGGCAGCAGGTAAGGACACATGGAGGTACTGCATTACTGTTTGAAGCACCCGATCTGATCCACACACTGGTACCTCGTCTTGCTGGAGGAAGCTCAGTTACAGTCATAGGGTTCAACAGTTTCTGTTTTCTCTTTTACCCCTGGAAATCACCACGAGCCCTGGCCATCCACTTGTCTAAATGATAGCTACTGACATGTGAATCTGGAAGGTGATCTCATGGGGATCAGAAGGGGTTGAGTTGGGGGTTGGGCAAGATCCAGACTTTGGCCTGTCTGAACTTGGAAACCAGGTGGCATCTCTTTATTAATTTCCTTCTTTGGTTCATGATCAGCAGGTTAAATGTAAAACCCTTAAAACTAAACCTGCAGGTTCTTTGTGCTTTTAATGTAATAGACCTTCCCCTAGAAATGTCATCAGTCAAAACTAGATATCGCGCTACGAACAGACATTACTACAAGATTGGTCAAAAAGGTAAGCAGCAACTCTGAGAAAGAAAGAAGCAGAGATGTTCAGGGAGGAAACTCGGAGATTAGGCTCCAAGCAGCTGAAGCTAATGGTGGAGTGAACAAATATAATGCAATGTAATTCCTTTATTCAAAAAGGGATGAAGACAGAAAGCTAAAAGCTAGTTAACAACTAAAATAGAGATGTTATAAGCTATTATTCAAGTTGTTACGGCAAGGCACTAGAATAACACAAGGCAATCAGCAGAGTTAACATCACTTAGTGAAAGGGTTTTTAACTAATTTATTGGAGCTCTTTGAGCAAATAGCATGTGGTGTGGGTAAAGGAGAACCAGTCAATGTACTGTACTCAGATTCCCAGACGGCATTTCATAATCTCCATATCAAAGGCTCTTACAGTAAATAAAATTCATGGTGTAGGGGCTAATATTTTGCTTGGAGAGAAGATTGGCTAGCTAATAGGAAATAGATTGGGAATAAATGTGTTGTTTTCTGGTTGCTAGATGTAAGAAGTGGTGTGTCACAGGGACCAGTGATTGAGCCTCGACATTTTATTATTTATTTCAATGGTTTGGATAGAGGGCCCAATGGTAAATAGTAAATTTGCTGATGATACAAAGATCGGTAGGAAAGTGAGTTGTAAGGAAACTACACCAAAGGGTTACAGATAAAGTGTGTGGCAAAGATGTAGTGGGCAAAGTAATATTCATGCCACACACATGCCAGGCAATGAGCATCTACAATAAGAGAGAATCTAAACATTGCTTCTTGATACAGGGTGGATTGGTGGCTCAGTGGTTAGCACTGCTGCCTCATAGTCCCAGGGACCTGGGTTCAAATCCAGCTTTGAGCAACTATCTGTGCGGAGTTTGCACCTTCTCCCCATGTCTGCGTGGGTTTGCTCCGGTTTCCTCCCACAGTCCAAAGATGTGCAGGTTAGGGTGGATTGGCCATGCTAAATTGTCCCATAGTGTCCAGGAATGTGCAGGCTAGGTGGATTGGCCATGGGAAATTGTCCCATAGTGTCCAGGAATGTGCAGGCTAGGTGGATTAGCCATGAGAAACACAGGGTTACAGGCAGAGGATCTGGGTGGGATGTTCTTTGGAGAGTTGGTGTGGCATTGAGGGGCCAAAGGGCTGACTTCCACACTGTAGAGATTCTATGACATTCAATGGCATTACCATCACTCAACATCCTGGAGTTACCACTGCCCAGAACCTTGCTCCAGTTGCAAAAGTTTGGAGATGGTGATGGTCAGCCAACAGAGCCTGGATGTAACAAAACACAGAGGGCAAGGGCCTCAACACCAAATGGGGTGATATCAGCTCATGCAGCACTGACAAGTGATAGCGTGCAGAACCTACATGGCCTGTTGGACTCACTGGCCCACACTGTGGTTTGGAAATTGAATGACTAGGGGAGTGAAAACATAATGAGTTCATTCAAATAGGCTCTTGTGAGCACCAAAAGAGAAATAATGATGACAAATCGTTTTTGTTCTTGCAGGTTCACCAAATTCCTCAGGCCTGTGCGAGAATGTCAGACCAAAGGTAATACACTGCACTGGAGGGAACTTCCTTCTCCGGCTCACAATGTAGCGACAGTCAGTACCACTGACAGGCCTTGCCTGATCTTAATGGGTTGATACACAAAGGGGGAGTAGGTGTGAGTTGTCACAAGGATCATAGCAACTAATTTTAGATTAAACTTAAGCTAAAAACAGAACAGAACATGATTACTTTTCCACTGTGCTGTGACAGCTGCTATCTATAGAGATTGCTGTATTGCTCTTGGAGTCAGCTAAAATGTCTCACTGAGACTAAGATGGTTTTATGTTTAAGTGGCCTGTCCCCCTTAGGTACACTGTTAAAGGTATTCTCTGTGGCAAAATAGTATCTGAATAGTTATATCCTCAGATCAGTTAAGGTGAATTACTGGGATCTCTGTTGCCAAGTTGTTTGCAAAGACAGCTGGAAGTGACCGGCTTTCCCTGTAACATATTCTGACACTTCAGAAGTGCATCTTCACGGAGAAGAGATGAATCAACATTTGAGATGCACAATGTTGATGATACAGAGCATCTCAAGTCAGCACCTGGAAGTTCCCACATTGGAAGCACCAATAGAAACAGCTTGATCTTGGAGGTTTGGATACACAAAATGCTTTTAGCAAATGGGTTTTCTAGCTTTAAAGTAGACTTTTAGAGAGACAAAGTTGTGGTTAACTGCTGAAGCAAACAATAAACTTGCACTTATATTGTCTGTTTAATGTATCAAATCATCCAAGGCATTTCACAGGAGCTCAGTCAAACAAAGGAGTTATCAGGATAGGCGTCATATGCTCAGTCGAAGAGGTTAGTTGTAAGAAGCACCTTAAAGGAGGGGCGACGGGGGTGGAGGGGGGGCGGGAGACAGCGAGAGAGAGAAAGTGATCGAGAGAGAGCGAGAGCAAGGGAGAGCGAGAGTGAGAGTGAGAGACAGCATGAGAGAGTGAGAGCAAGACACCGTGTAAGAGAGAGAGAATTCCTGAGCATGGGCATGAACAGTGAAGTGATGGAAATCAGAGGCTTCAACTTTTCGAACATCAACTGGGATCATCTTAGTGAGAAAGGATCAGACAGGGTGGAATTTTTAAAGTGTATCCAGGAGAGCTCTTCGTGCTAGCACATAGACAGTCCAACTAGAAAGGGGGCAGTGCGACATGTAGTCTCTGTTGGTCAACATAGCGATGTTGGGCTGAAGGGCCTGTTTCTATGCTGTTTCCCTCTGTGATATGTTCTAGTAACAATCCCTATGAATGAATGACTCTGTGTGAGGTTTTGCAGCAAGTTTTAGATTAGGCATTGAAAACTTTGAAGGTTTCAGCCCTGGTCACCTTAAAGCAGGCTGAGATACAGGCAGGAGAGGTGGTGAGAAAGATAATGACGCTCAAACTGTAGATGCAGGCAGCACAGAAGGAAGCCATTAACAATGCAGCCTAAGCCTTGCTGTCTGGTGAATTCCACCTCTGGGTTGGAACACCCCTGCTACTCACTTGCTCACACATCAGAACTAATTCTGATCACATGTAATAAACTTCTCGTTATAAATTTACGATTCTTTATGTTTAGACCTGGTTCAGTGGGTAGCACATTCTCCCATGACTCAGAAGGTCATAAATCCGAGTCACAGTTCACAGAGGTGATCTAACACCTGCAGGGTCAGCGCTGAGGAAGCGCCGCACTGTCAGAGGGTCAGCGCTGAGGAAGCGCCGCACTCTGTCAGAGGGTCAGCGCTGAGGATGTGCCGCACTGTCAGAGGGTCAGTGCTGAGTGAGCGCCACACTGTCAGAGGGTCTGTATTGAGAGAGTGCCCCACTGTTGGAGGCGTTATCTTTCAGACAAGGCATTGTAGCATGGAACTAACTGCTCTCTTGGGTGAATGTGAAAGATCTAAGGACCACTGTCAGAAGTAAACCTGGGAAGTTTTCCCTCGTGTCCTGAAACTTCCTTGAAGTAGCAACCCAAGTGGACAAGGTGGTCAAAAAGGCACATATAATGCTTGCCTTCATCAATCGGGTTATAGAGTACAAAAATTGGCAAGTTATGTTGCAGCTGTATAGAACTTTAGTTAGGCCACATTTGGAATATTGTGTACAGTTCTGGTCACCAAACTACCAGCAGAATTTGGAAGCTTTGGCGAGACATTGTCTGGTTTGGAGTATTAGCTGTGTGGAGAGATTTGGTTTGTTTTCACTTGAACGTTGAAGGATGAGGGGCATTCTGATTGAAGTTTAGAAAATTATGAGAGGCATGGATAGAATGGATAGTCGGAGTCTTTTTCCCTGGATAGTAATGTCAATTACAGGGGACACAGGTTGAAGGTAAAAGGGGAGCAAGTTTAAAGGAGATGCGAGAGGCAAGTTATTTTTTAGACATACAGTGGTAACCATCTGGAATGTGCTGTCTGATAAAGCAGGGTGGAGGCAGATACAAAAGCAACATTTAAGAAGCATTTTGGCAGATACACTAATGTAGAAGTCTGCTGTGTGAAAATCAGCTGCTAATTACAAATTTCCAACAGTCGGTGCTCTTTAGAAGTGTTTGTTTGGCTGTAATATGCTTTGAGACCTGCCTTGCTGGTGGAAGATGTGATTCAAAATGCATTCTTTTTAATCCTTCTCTGTCGCACAGGAAAGGGATGGAAGAAAAGGCAAATTCCCCATATTCTTTCACCTGCAGCTACTGCAAGGAACAATTCCACAGCGTCTCAGCCCTACACATTCACACGGGCACTAATGGATGTATGGGGACATCTCACAGTGTCAGCCAGGTGAGTAAATACCACAGCAGGCAGCACAACAGCTCAGCATCTCTCACTCTGTTGCTTACTGTTTCGTTAGAATAAGCAACTCACTGGAGTACAGTTACACAGAGGGCAGGGTAAATGCAATAACTTTTCACTGGAGTGGTTAGAAGGAGCTCACCAAGACGCTTTTTATGAAAGATTGTGAGAAAACAGACTCCAAAAACTTGTTGCCAGGCATGGGTAAATCTGAGACAAGGAAGAATAGGAGAAAGGACAAGGAAACTGGACTAGGATAGGCATTTTCAATTAAAATGCTCACACATGCATGATTGACTGAACAGCTTTACAATGCTGGTCAAATTAAAACACAAGGGAAAATTATCTGAGACCCAGAATCCATATCCAGCAGCAAATGCAGAATTACAATGTGGGAAAAGGTTGTGAGATAATCTTAATAATTCACACTTAAAAGCCACGTTCATTCTGGGATATGTGTGCTCCCAGCAAATCTGGTATTTATTGCTCATCCCAAGGCACCCTGGCCAGAGCAAATCTAGCTCTGATTTGCACCTTGTACCTGTCTCCGTGTACCTGACTTTAGAAAAACAAGCTTACAGGAAGCACCAGTAGAGACCAAACAGTAAATTTATTTTGCCGCTGCCCAGGTCTCCCTTCATGACACCTTTATCCTATTCAATGTGCAGGGAATCACAGAGTCTTGCAGCACAGAATGAGGCCATTCAGCCCACTGTGTTTGTAAAGGCTCTTTGAAAAAGCTACGCAGTGAGTCCTGCTCCTGCTGCTGGTGTGAGCTAGCTGAGTGTACTGCATTCACGTCAGTTTAGAGCTTAGTGATACAGTTCAGAGAATTGCAGGGGTTCAAGGAAGCAGCTCACCACCACCTTGTCAATAGCAACTAGAATAGACAATAAACCCCTGGCCAAGCCAGCGACACCCACGCTCCATGAACGAATAAAGGGGCTTTTAATCGCAAGGTCCAAACCAGCAGTCTTCCTTCTAACCCCATGCTATGAATCCCCTCTCAGCTCTGCTGAGTTATTATGGTGTTGCTTATTGTTGTTGTACCATGGGGTGTGTCACCTCCTCAATAAGTGACCACAGAAACAGAGTGAGTATCGTATAGATGGCTGACTCACCAGCAAACTGCTTGTTGTTGAGTCTCCCAGACATCGTAGTGTAAACTTTCAAGAATGATTATATCATCTCTGCAGGTCTTCCACGGTGATTCCCCCAGAACCTGCTGCAAATTTTATTCTGATTAATGTTTAATAACAACATCTTAAAAAAAAACCTCTTTCAAACAGGCAGCAACTGGCATTTAATATTGGTGTGCTTATCATGGAGCCAATAACTTGCCATAGGATACTGGGTCAATCCTAGAGAAGGACATTTACAGGGTTACGGGATCAAAGGGCAGGAATGGGGGTCTAATTGGATGACTCTTTCAAAAGGCCAGCACAGTTTCGATGGGCTGAATGTCTTCATTGCGTACTGTCTAATTCCATGAAGGCAGTGCTTTAATTCAATACTCAGACACTAGAAGCCCATTGTGTCTATGCTAGTCCTTTGATGATTTCCACATTCTGTCTGTTCATGGGTAATGCTGCATTGTTCCTCTCCCCGACCTGTTCAAGTCCATTTTACTATTATTTGTGGATTCACTAAGGTAGAACATTGCATGGCTCAACCTCTCACTGAGTAAAGACAGTTCTACTCTACTCATCTCTAGAGTTTTTGCCCATGATTTGAAAGCTCTAACCTCTGGGTATTGAACCACTAGCCAGAAGGAATAGTCTTTCTCTACCTGCTGTATCAGATACTTTCATCACCTTCAAACACAATATTTCAGTAATCTCTAAGTGTTCTCCATTCCAAGTTCCAACTTTCCAACATTACTGAAGCCCCTCATCCCTGCTAACATCCTGGTAAACTTCCTTTGTGCCAATCAAGTAGCTTTACTATCCCTGATGACATTCTATCAATCTCCTCTGCACTGTTTCAAATACCGTTCCATTTTACCCAAACTGTGATGCACTGAAGAGTTCATGGTCCTCCCTTTGAGGCCTAACCAGTGACCTGCAAACTTGTGGGACACTGTAGTGATTTGAACCAGCTTGTTGACTCCGAGACCCGAAACATCAGCTTTCCTGCTCCTCTCATGCTGCCTAGCCTGCTGTGTTCATCCAGCTCCACACTGTGTTATCTATGTTGACTACAAGATCCTTGATTGGGGTTGTTAACCCTGGGCCAATCAGGAACGCCCTGGCTGACCAATATAACCAGGAGATTTCTACTCAGTTCAGGGAACTAACTCCCAGCTCACTGGCCACAGCCAAAGTCCTGTACACAAGTAAATAAAAGGTGACTTGGTGACAGGATACCAACCTCTGTGCAGTTATTTGAGACATTCTCTGCTGTTATACTCTATGCATATATTTATAAGACAGTGACACACCAGTGATATCACTAGACTGGTACTCCAGACAGTCAGGCTAATGCTCTGGGAACTGAGTTCAAATCCCACATGGCAGCTTGAGTTTGAATTCTGTCAATATAAGGCTGGTTTGCTCATGGTGACCACTGATTGCTGTTAAAAACCCATTTAGTTCACTGGTATCTTTTAGGGAAGGTAATCTTCCACCATTACCTGGTTTGGTTTACGTGTAACTTCAGACCCACAGTGATGTGGCTGAAACCCAAAACTGCTCTCTGAAATAGGAACACACAACTTAGAAGCAGCAGTACGCCACTCAGCCCCTCAACTGTGCTCATTCATACAATAAGATTGTAGCTGATCTGACAGTCCACATTCCTGTTTACCTGGTACCCTTTCACCCTGCTGCTGATCAAGAACTGAACTACAATTTGTGTTGGGCACTGGATGCTGGTCTATCCAGTGACACCCTCGTCCTGCGAATGAATAATATGAAAAGGGCACTGAGCGATGGGCAATTAATTCTGACCCAGCCAATAAAATCCTTGAATGAACAGAAAATGTGTAAATGTGAATCATACTGCAGGCCTGACTGAAAGTCTTAAATTTGTTTCCTGAATAATTATTAGCACAGTCAGGGTTAGCAGAATTACACCTATTTTTGTACAATATGTTCTGAGTTTTGCCAACATATTTTGGTTAAACACAGTCAGCACATTGCTCACTGCAGACATTCAATGGAATTTTTTTTTGGTAAAGTCCAATAATCATTGGGACAGATAACCTACAATGTTGGCATTATGCTAGCACCAAAGCTCATATATCATATTACTCACTGGTGTGGAAGGCAGAACATCTTTTTGGCTTAATAGCAACAAGCTGTTAGTGGAAACTACCTCTCATGGGTTTACTATAAATTAGCACCATGAGATGGTTCGCGTTAAATACTGTCATAAAGTCCTACAGCACGGAAACAGACCCTTTGATCCAACCCTTTGATTATTAAGTTGGACAGAGTTCAAAAAAGATTTATCAAGGTTATGTTGAACATAATCCCAAACTAAACTAGTCCCACCTGCCTGCTCCTGGCCCATATCCCTCCAAACCTTTCCTATTCATGTACTTATCTTCCCTTTCAGGGTAATCAGAGCTAGACCAGATACCTTCCAAGGACAAAAGTGGCAGGTTTAGACCCTTTCATGAATTTGTGCAATATACAGGGAGTCAAGATTTGATCAGGGTAACCACTATGGTGCAGAATAGAGCAGCCAAGCCGCATCATAGGAGCAGGAAGGCTAAAGGAGTTGGGACGTTATGTTGAGGTTGTACAGGATATTGGTGAGGCCTTTTCTGGAATACTGTGTCCAATTCTGGTTGCCATGTTATAGGAAGGATATTATTAAGCTGGACAAGGTTCATAAAAGATTTATCAGGATATTGCCAGGAATGGAGTTATAAGGAGAGGCTGGACATGCTGCGACTTTTTTCAACGGAGTGTAGGAGGTTGAAGAGTGACGTTATAAAATCATAATGGGTACAGATAAGGTGAATGGCAAATGTCTTTTCCCTATGATAGGGGATTTGAAGACTAGAGGGCATTTTTTTTAAAGTGAGAGGAGAAAGATTTCAAAAAAGACACGAGTGGCAACCTTTTTTCACAGAGAGTGGTTCATGCATGGAATGAATGTCCAGAGGGAGTGGTGGATGTGGGTACAGTTACAACGTTTAAAAGAAATTTGGATAAATACATGAATAAGAAATGTTTGCAGGGGTATGGGCCAAGCACAGGCAGGTGGGACCAGTTTAGTTTGGGATTATGTTTGGCATGGAGTGCTTGGACCAAATGGTCTGTTTCCATGCTGTATGACTCTACAAATCTACCTCTGTCTTAAAAATCTTCAAAGACTCTGTTTTCACAGCCCTTTCAGGAACAGAGTTCCAAAGACTCTCAAAAGTATGAGAGAAAAACATATACCTCATCTCTGCCCTGAATGGGTGACACTTTTTCTTTAAACAGTTCTGAACCGGGCTCTAGATTCTCCCACAGAAGGAAAGAATCATTTTGTTAAGACCCCGCAGTATCATAAACAAACATAAAGAATGCTGAAGAGATTCAGCAGGTCTGGCAGCATTTGTGGAGAGAAATTAACGGTTTGAGTCCAATAAGACTCTTCTTCAGAATTTCCCTCAGGATCCCTCAGAAGGCATTGGAGGCAGGATCGTTAAATATTTTTGAAGGCAGAAGTAAATACATTTATGATAGGCCAGGGAATTGAAGGTTAGCAGGGATAGATGGTAATGTGGTATTTGAAACACAAACAGATCAGCTACGATCTTATTGCTTGGCAAAGCAGGCTCAAGAAGATGAATGGTCTATTTTAGCTCCTATTTTATATGTTTCTAAGTTTAACTAACTAACCTATTGGAATCCTTTGAAGAAGTAATATGTGATGTAATCTTGTATAACCTCCCTGCTTGGTTCCAGAATGTGCTGCTCTAAGAAACAATCTCAAAAGCAGTTTATGAGCTCTTCATCAAGGTTACTACTGCCTTCTGAATTTTCCAGTATTCATATGGATGAAAGTCAGCCATGATTGTTGCCCTTTCTTTATCACAAGCACCCACTAATTTTTCTTGTGTACTTTATTCCACTTTGTAGTTACTGTTAGGGGTCCTGTAGACCACTCCCACAAGCGACCCCTTTCCTCATCTCCACTCAAATCTACATCCTGACAATATGAATCAAAGTTATCTCTAATTAATGCAGAGAAACAAGAGTAGCAATAGGACATTCGGCCCTTCAAGCCTGTTCCATCATTCATTATGATCATGGCTGATCATCCAGCTCAGAGCACTGTTCTCCTCATACCCTTTGATTCCCTTTAGCCCTAAGAACCATATCTAGTGCCTTCTTGGAAATATTCAATGCTTTGCCCTCAACCGCTTTCAGTGGCAGAGAATTCTACAGACTCATCACTCTCTGGGTAATGAAATTTTTCATCTCTGTCCTAAATGGCTAGCTCGTAATCCTTAGACTGTGAATCCTGGTTCTGGACTCCCTGGTTATTGGGGACATCCTTCCTGCATTTACCATGTCTAGTTCTGTTATAATTTTATAGATTTCTGTGAGAATTCCCCTCATTCTTCTAAACTTCAATGAATATAGCCTGAACCAATTGAGCTTCTTTGTACATCAGTCCTGCTCTCCCAGGAATCAGTCCAGTGAACCTTTGTTTTACAAATGCCAACCTTGATAAACAGGGCTACCTTTACTTACCTCCAACAAGATTTCCCTTTCCATGTTGACTCTGACCAATTATCTCTGGTATTTCTGAATGCTCGACTGTATCATCTTCCCTCTGACAGATACTAAGCTAATCGGCCTGCAGGTTTCTGCTTTCTGTCTCCCTCCTTTTCAAATTAATGAATTAACGAATTAAGTTCACTATTTTCCAATATAATGGAACCTTCACCTAACTGAGGCAATTTTGGAAAATTAAAACCAACTTAACAACTACCACACTAGCCACGTACTCTAATACCCTAAATATGAAGTCCATCAAGACCCAGGGACCTCTCAGGCTGTAGCTCCAACATTTACTCAGTACCACTTCTCTGGAGATTGGGATTTTCTCGAATTTGTCCCTTCCTTCATTCTCTACTTTCAGCTATTTCATGGTATTTTCCCAGCAAGCCACTCAGTTCAAGGGCAATTATGAATGGGCAATAAATGCTGGCTTCACATGTGACACCATGAAAGAATAAAGAACAAAAAAAAATCCAAGTAAGCCATACCAACTTATCAACTTGCTACAGTGCCTTTAAAAATTCACGCAAATGAACTAGAAAATTAAAACCAAAAACACCAGAACTTGCACATGCAACCCAGGTGTGCCTTTACTCTGAGATTGTCATGAAGTCCTCGCTCATTAAGCATTACCAAGTCTAGTAAAACCTGCTTTCTAACTGGCTCCAGACTGTGCTGCTCTAAGAAACTATCTGAAATGAATTCCATGAATTCCTTGTCCAGGTTACTTGTGCCAACTTGAAAATTCATCTCTGCAATTCCTTACTGCAGAGAGCTGGATCATTAAGTATACTGAAGGCTGAGATAGTTTTTAATCTGTAAGGGAGTCAAGGGTTATGGGGAAATGGAGTTCAGGATTATCAGATCAGCCATGGTCTCATTGAATGGTGGGGAAGACTCAATGGGCCAAATGGCCTACTCTGCTCCTACATGTGTGGAGTTTCCACATTCTCCCCGTGTTTGCATGGCTTTCCTCCGGATGCTCCGGTTTCCTCCCACAGTCCAAAGATATGCAGGCTAGGAGGATTAGGGATGTGAAGCTTAGGTGGGTTATAAGGGGATGGGTCTGGGTGGGATGCTCTGAGGGTCAGTGTGGACATGTTGGGCCGAAGGTCCTGTTTCCACACTGTAGGGATTCTATGATTCTATGACGACTCTTTGATATATGATCTTATGTGCGATATCTGCAGATACAGAAATGTTCATGTTTTACACAGATATTAAACACAATACTTGGGACTAAAATAAAACATACAGGAACTGAGGTCATTCAGTCCAGCACATTCATTCTAAGATACTGAATACTGAAATAAATGACAATTTTTTTTCATCGTCCATTTTGGCCATGCTTCCTGTCCATTGGTAGGCTGGGAAGAGCTGAGAGAAGAACTGATAATAATTCCTTGGAGCTCTTCTCAAAGGCCAATTATAATTCCTTTCCTGCCTTTCACCAAATCTTCCCTCCACACTGCCTTGTTAGAAGCTAAACAACAAGCTGTGCCAGCAGTATGATCATTGGGAGTTGTGACATACACCATACAAAAACATTTGATGATTAGTACCTTGCCCCTTCTTCTTGCTAGCTCTTATCAGTGAATCTCAAACCTTCTTCTGTCTCATGGCAGACGAAAGTATGAGTGACACAGTTACCAGGCCTGAGGTGGTCTCTTAAATGTCGATCCCAGAACTGGGAGGTTATAACTATCAGGAAAGACTGAATAGGCTGCCTTTTCTATTCTGTATAAGACAGAAGGTGAGGGATGACCGAACTGATATCTTTAAGATCATAAATGAATTGGGTATGGTAGGTGTCATGAAGATATTTCCTTTTCTTATTATTTATCAGGAGTATGAACTGCTTGAAAGTTCGGTGGTTTTTGTCCTCAGTAGCCTTTAGATATAATGAATGACCATTTCAGAAGATAAAAAGGAACAGGAGTAGGCCATTCAGCCCCTTGATGCTGCTTTGCCATTCTATACCAAGACTGATCTACATCAACATCATTTCCCACACAAACATCATATTCCTTCACCTCTTTGATGTCTAGAAGTCTATTGATTTCTGTTTTGAACATATTCGCTAACTACACTTCCACAGCCCTCTGGGGTGGATATCCCTAAAGGATACTGATGAAGGAGATGGATTCCTATGGCAGTTTCACAGTCACCAGATCGTTAACTGAATTTAAAATGTCCCAACCGCTGCAGCGGGATTGGAATTCAAGGGACAGAGTTACTAATCCAATCCTCTAGGCCAGTAACATAGTTACTGTTACCATACCCAATACTAGGATTCATCCTTCGAAAGAGTCCAAAACCAGCAATCTTCAATATGAGACCATCACCGATAAATCCAATACAGAATTCAGGAGTAACTCACTGTGACAGTGGAAATAACGTGGGCCTCACTCTCACAGGGCATACTCGATGTGAATCATTTAGATACATTTAAGGGATAAGCTGGATAATTATCCTGACAAAGAAGGAACAGGAGGATAGTGTGAAATGAAGAGATGGTGGGGGAGTTGTGAAGAATAAGCACCAGCATCATCTGACTGGGCCAAATGGCCTGTTTCTGTGCTGCATATATGATGTAACATGATAAAGACTGTTGCTTTTTTTTTGTAGAATGATGGAGAGAAGATTGTACGGGATGGAAGCCACCTCTCCCCTCCCTTCACAGCCACTTCCATGTCAGCGAAGACTGACAGATGCAGGCAAGACGCCTTCCTGGAGCAGAATCCAGGCTGCTTCCTGCCTGAACAGGACACGACAACGCTCACCAGAATGGCTGACGTCTCAGCACAGGAGGTCGATCAGCTGTACTTTCTTTGCTTGTCATTTCATTTCAGGTTTCCTCTCCTACGGACTGGACTCTTCTACCCTGTACCAATGTGGTGGGAGAGGCCATTGGGGAAGTTACTGAGAAGTCCCTCTACTTCCAACTCCATAATATCACCCGACTCTGCCCCTGCCTCAGCTAAGCCTCTGTTACTTCTGGTCTCAATTATCCCAATGCTGTCCAGGCAGGGATCCCACCTTTTACCCTCAATAGCTTTTTGTAGGGAGAGAAATCTAGATTTCCACACCCTTTACCTGAAGTTGTTTTTCCTGGCATCACCCCTGAACGGCCTGGTACAAATCTGTGATTTGTGATAGGGGTGTGATAGGGGTTACTTTCTATGTAACTGTACAGAGTCAGTGTTTATTCAACATGGTAAGGGTCTCTCACTGTGTAACTGTACGGGGATAGACCCTATGGTCTAGGCTTCCTCTTCCAGAGGAAATAGTTTCTATCAACCCTTTAATCACCTTAAACACTTCAATCAGGTCACCCCTTAATCTTCTTTATTCGACAGAAGAAAGCAATGGCAACTGAGGCAATTGTACTGTCCCAACTAACTTTGCAACCGAGGAGTGGAATCTGGCACCTACTGCTTTGTGAGTTAACGCTTCATATGTAGTGTCAGTTATGATTCAGTAAATAGCGCTCTTGCCTCTGAGTCAGATTGAAAGTTCAAGGCTGACTCCAGAAACCAGAGGACTAACAGAGAATCCCAGGGCGACATGCTGCTGGTACCACTTTAAGATGAGACAAAGGATACATGCAGCTGTTTCCCTAGGGTTCTAAGGTCACCATTTACCCCTCAGCCAACATCACAAATACCTAGTACCTCCTCATGATCAAATCGCTGTCTGTGGGAATTTGCTGTGTGCAAACTGGCTGCCAGGTTCCTCAATTTTTGACACCTCAAAAAAGTACTATTTTTATCTGTAACTCCTTTAGGGATGTCCCGAAGTGGTGAATGGAGGTTACAAAGACCCATGCCTTACTTTTAGGCAAGGCATTAATTAAGATTTAAAGGCAACAACGTCAGTAACATTAGTAAATCTGGATATGTTTGTGTTTTTCCACAGAGTTCTGAAACTCACATTCCCAAGTACCATCCTGCCACCATGTATCGAAGCTATCTCCGTTCAACAAGCACCATTGCTGGAGAGCAGCAAATGTCTTCCTCAGAGCCACCCCATTACACACCACTGCCAATGCTTAATCCTAACCGCAAGAGCTCGGGTCTGTTCTCCAATCTCAGCACCACTGAAACCAGCACCAATTCCACACCAGTGTCGTTCACCTGTAGCCAGTTCAGTAAGTATTCACTCCACTCCTGAAAGCAACGGCTCTTCCAGTTGTTTCAGAGATAGTAGAAAATGCAGATGCTGGAGAATCTAAGGTAACAAGGTGTAGAGCTGGATGAACACAGCAGGCCAAGCAGCATCAGAGGAGCAGGAAGGCTGACGTTTCGGGCCTAGACCCTTGGCTCTTCCAGTTGCACAAGTACTGCTCACACCCGGGAAACCATCAAGGTCCCGACAGTGCGAGTACACCTTATGGATTATTTCGTCACGATTGGAATCACAGACGAGCCTAATCCTGTCTCCATTGATCTCACAAAGTCACACAATGGCCACTACTTATATGATTTTTTGTTCTGTGGTCTTGAGACGTGGAATCTATTAATATCATCTTAGTAACGCTCAGATAAAACAAACAGGGGAAAAGTCACTGTTTATTCAGCAAGCACTCACTGTGTAACTGAGATTTGACTCAAGCGTACAGGATCCTGAATGGTTTTGTCTAGGTCAATGTGGAAAAGATGTTTCCTCTTGTAGGTGGCTCCAGAACTATGCAGCACTGTTTAAAATATGCTTAAGTCAGAGATGGAGAGAAATCTTCTCTCAAAGAATTGTGCAACTTTGGAATGCTACCTCAGGAGGTGGTGAGGTTGGGTCATTCAATATTTTTAAACTGGAGACAGATAGATTCTTGTTAGGCAGGGGAATCAAAATATCACGGCAAGATGGGAATGTGAAATTCAAAACACAAACAGAGAAACCGTGAACTTATTCACTCACAGAGCAGGCTTGAAGGCCCAAATGGCTACTATTGTTCCAAGCTTGTATGTTCATGAGGATCAGTAACTGTCCAGTCTCCCTATTTGTTCAGCAGGGTAAGGGTCACTCACAGTGTAACTGTAAAGAGTCAGTGTTTACTCAACGTGGTAAGGGTCACTCACTATGTAACCGTACAGAGTCAGTGTTTATTCAGCAGGGTAAGGGTCACTCACTATGTAACCGTACAGAGTCAGTGTTTATTCAGCAGGGTAAGGGTCACTCACTATGTAACCGTACAGAGTCAGTGTTTATTCAGCAGGGTAAGGATCACTCGCTGTGTAACCGTACAGAGTCAGTGTTTATTCAGCAGGGTAAGGATCACTGTGTAACCGTACAGAGTCAGTGTTTATTCAGCAGGGTAAGGGTCACTCACTGTGTAACTGTATGGTGTTTATTCAGCAGGGTAAGGGTCACTTGCTGTGTAACTGTACAGAGCCAGTGTTTATTTAGCAGGGTAGGGGTCACTTTCTATGTAACTGTACAGAGTCAGTGTTTATTCAACATGATAAGGGTCACTCACTGTGTAACTGTACAGGGATAGTATTTATTCAGCAGAGTAAGGGTCATTCACTATATAACTATACAGAATCAGTATTCATAATAAACATTATTCATTGTGCAACTACACAGTAGCAATGGCTATTTAGGGAAGGGACTTTGCATAGTGTAACCGTACAGATCCTATTTATTCACTACAAAGATTACTCACTGTGTAAATATAGGGTCACTGTTCATTCAGTTTAAAGATTACTCAATTTCTAACAGTACACAGTTCAATTCACTTAGTCATTGAAAAATATATTTCTTTGAACAGATGGATTTGAGATTGTGCATCAGAATTGCACAGCAACTGTGAACAACCCATGTCCGTAAGTATGATCATCACAAATCTGAATCTAGTGCCATGTTGTCGGATAGATCAACACTTAAAAAACTGTGGGTTATCAATTGTTCAACACTGTGAAATATGAATTCTAAATATCACTGATACTGTCAGTACTGGGCATACAGTATGCAAAAATGTGTTAACCTATGCTGGGTGTACAGGGTACAGCATCTAGGCTGTGTTAATCTGTGCTGGGAGTTCGGGGATACAGGGTCCAGGGTGTGTTAATCTGTGCTGGGAGTACGGGATACAGGGTCCAGGGTGTGTTAATCTGTGCTGGGAGTATGGGGATACAGGATCCAGGGTGTGTTCATCTGTGCTGGGAGTATGCGGATACAGGGTCCAGGGTGTGTTAGTCTGTGCTGGGAGTTCAGGGATACAGGGTCCAGGGTGTGTTAATCTGTGCTGGCTGTATGGGGATACAGGATCCAGGGTGTGTTAATCTGCGCTGGGAGTATGGGGATACAGGATCCAGGGTGTGTTAATCTGTGCTGGGAGTTCGGGGATACAGGGTCCAGGGTGTGTTAGTCTGTGCTGGGAGTTCAGGGATACAGGGTCCAGGGTGTGTTAATCTGTGCTGGGTGTATGGGGATACAGGATCCAGGGTGTGTTAATCTGTGCTGGGAGTACGGGGATACAGGATCCAGGGAGTGTTAATCTGTGCTGGGAGTATGGGGATACAGGATCCAGGGTGTGTTAATCTGTGCTGGGAGCATGGGGATACAGGGTCCAGGGTGTGTTAGTCTGTGCTGGGAGTTCAGGGATACAGGGTCCAGGGTGTGTTAATCTGTGCTGGGTGTATGGGGATACAGGATCCAGGGAGTGTTAATCTGTGCTGGGAGTTCGGGGATACAGGGTCCAGAGTGTGTTAATCTGTGCTAGGAGTATGGGGATACAGGATCCAGGGTATGCTAATCTGAGCTGGGAGTGTGGGTATACAGGGTCCAGGATGTGTTAATCTGTGCTGGGAGTACGGGGTTACAGGGTCCAGGGTGTGTTAATCTGTACTGGGAGTTCGGGGATACAGGGTCCAGGGTGTGTTAATCTGTGCTGG